CTGTACTTGAAATTGTATAATTGAGATCGAAGGCTGTCTGGGGCTTCTGGGTTGGGATATAGATTCCACATCCATGAGCTTTTCAGTATGGTCATTGAGCTGAAATGGAGAAGGTTAAAACTCTCATTTTCATTACCAAACACCCCCATCTCCCAATACAAATGTGACATTTCAATTTTGCACAGTCCAACTCTTCTTAAATCATCTGTATAAAAACTTCAGATCTTGATTGATGATGGATGAGCTATTGTCTCCTAAAGCACCCAGTTCTCATTACCCTTTAAGACAGGGCTTATTAATGATGGACCTGAAGTGCTTTCCCAGTGGGTCATCAGCAGTGAACTGTGCTGAGGGATCAAAAGACTTGGTTTGGCATGAAATTTCCAGGCCTAAGCTGTTTTCAGATGATGCATTCAGCATCTTGGGTGCAATAGCAGAAGAGATCCCCATCACTGGGATGTTTATGTAAAGATGCAGAACTGTCAATCTGCCAAGGTGCTTCAGCCCTAGTGAGGCTGACCTTGGAAATTCAGGTGTCATCAGCATGTGGTATATAATACATACATGCAGGATATACCTGTATATGGTGGGGTGTAAAAGACAGCTGCTTCCTTCATAGCCAGCTTGAAAGGTGTAAGATACAGTCTTGTTTGCTTTTGAAGTGGTTAGAGTGGACTTACCCCAGTTTTTCTCAATTAACTCCCTCCCCTTTGCCTGCCCACTTCACAGCTAGTTTTTTTTCCCTCTCACCATGCCATTTTCCAGCTCCTAGTGCCAGCTGATTTTGCAGCACCAGAGAAGAGCTTTTAATTTGCAACCTGGAATAGCAATAGCCATTTTATAACCATTTTTGCAACAATTTTAGAGAGAGATTCTACAGCTAAATAGATGTTTACAACCCCCACTGCACAGACACATACATGAGTAACTTTCACTCTAGGGTACATTACCGAACGAGAACATGTTTTGCCAATTTAACCCACATTAGAAACTGGATAGCAGACCATGAGGGATTATGCTGTGCACCAAAAAAAAAAAAAAAAAGTCAGCTCAATAAATTGCCCTTTTAACAGATGGAAGAAAAGTGGTTTCTCTCTCTGATCTAAGCAGATGCCACCCTTGCAGAGCCACTGTCCCCTTGCAGTGATTGTGTGCCTCAGGTGGCTGAGAATGTGTTTCCATCAAACTCTGAGTTCCTTTCTGAACTTGGCAGCCCAAGCATGAGCTGTGTGTGGTGTACCTGTCTGTGTTCCTGGCACTTCAGTGTGAGGTGCTTGTGTCTCTTGGTTGCCAGAAATATTTCCATCCCTCCTGTTAGTATTGTATGGCAGGTTACCAAAGTCTGTGGGAATGTTTCTCCAGGCTAACAAAAGCAAGAAAATAGCAACAGGTAATGCAGTTCTGATTTGCCTTCCTGAGCAAATAACCATTTAAGAGAATTTTAATAATATGCAGATATAAGTTCCCCACGATCATTGGAGAGTAATAAGCAAAATAATGACAGAATTCAGTGGCAAGGACACATGCTGATTTATTTTCGTGTAACTTTGGTTGTAGAATTATACTTCTTTTAAGCCAGTAGAGTAGTTCTAATAAGGGAGATGATAAGATTTGTCATTCACTTCAGAATCAAGTGGCAAAAGCCCTTGGTGCTGCTCTTTTGCTCAGGGCATGGGGCTGCAGCCCTGGTACCAAACCAGGTGGTTGTGGTACTCTGAAGTATTACACTTTCAAAATATGTTCAAATCTGTCTGGCACCTCTAGGAACTCTTTTCCCTAGTGAGTCTTGTGCTTAGAAATCCCTCTCTTGTACCCTGATGTCCCTGAGCAGGGTGGATGCCCAGGGGTAGCACTTGCTGCTAGTGGGGTCATACTTGCACTAACAGTTTTCCAGCATCACAAAAAATTGTTTTAGAAGACAAAAATACTCACCCCCAAATGGTATTTAAAGTACATTTCACTGTTGTTGGGGCGTCTTTGGCAGGAACTGGCTTCTTTGTTTACAAAATTCACTCAGGGACTTGGCATTTTTTTCTTCTGCTCCAGCCTTGGAAAGAGTTGAGCACACAGGAGAAGAAACCTCTTTTTGCCTGGCTTCCATTGCTGCCTGCACAGGCAGAGATCCTGCCTTCCTCCTCCTGTTCATTGTTTAACTTTATCTCTCACTTTCAGGGCTGTAAATTAAAATGAGATTATGACTTTATGATGATGAGTTCATTATACAGCAGCTCTATTGTATATTGATTACAGTTGTGCTTCATTTGCTTAACATGTAACAGAGTTTATTAGCTCTTCCCAGGCATTGTTCTTGCTAAGAGAGGGCAAAGAAGTGCAAAATGCATTTTGAGTTGAAGTCAGTGAAGCCAATGCATCTGTGCTGATTTACACACACCGAGGACTTGGTGTAAAGAAAAGGAGGTTGGGTTGGGAAGGTGGAGTGGAAATGAATCTGGGGCCCAGAGAGCAGGAAAAGTCAAACACAAGTGCTCTAAAGATTGTGCTAATCCTAAAGTTTGAATCTAAATATTGGTCTCAGTGTTACTTAATATCCACAAGAACCCACCTTTGATATTACTCAGGCGTGCTGGCACCTCAGAGCATCAATAACCTGGAAACTTTAATTCTGACACTGGTGAGAAATGGTGCAGTGCAGGGAAATTGGAGGTACTGTATCCCATTTTTGGGAAAAAGCAGCAGAAACAGCACTTGCTATTCAGTGATGAGGCAAGTCAGAACATTTTTTAGGCTAATTTTAGTAAATCACAGTTGAAGATGTTGGTTTCCCTGAAGTATAGTGTATGATACGCTTCCTGGTTACCTTTATACTGAAAAAAAAGTCTTTCTCTGTAGAGTTGTGTTTCCTTCCCTCTGCCCTCCTCGCCCCACTGCCCAGCTGGCCGGGCTCCACTGGGGATTATTCCCATGGATTCGAGGGGGAGATGCAGCATTTCTCCACAAATTAAAACTATTAGAATTACTTTTAGATAGAGATCCTGCTATACAAGAATGTGTCAAAGTTCCTAGCAGGAAATAAACTTGGATAGGTGTTGTCATGAGGGGTTGCTTTTGAAACCCAGAAATGATTCCAGTTCTGTGTGCCAGCTGACAGAGGAGCCAGGTAGAGTTCTGTGTGGGAAATGGACTTGTAGAAAATTTTCAAAGCTTATAATGTATTGTAATTACAAAATAGTTGGCTTCTGATTGCAATAGCATGAATTATAGCATCTGTATTGTCTCACCCTTCACATGAGACTGAAAATAGAATAAAAATTTTTAAAACACCTCTCAGTTACCCCATGTCTAAGACAAAAAAAAAAAAAAAGCTTAATCCAACAATTGTGTGTGTGTTTAAGAAGCTATAAATGCAGATTTTACAGTTTTTCACTGTTTTTATGTTATTTTTAATCAAAATCTGGGCCATAATAGATTAGGTAATCCAGTGTAGCTGGGACAACACAGAGAAATCATCACTAATCATGATTTTAGGTGTTTTTCTAAGTCCCTCTTCTCCCCAGAGCAAAATTGTTAACAGATGCTGTATGTTTTTTTCTGTGATCATAAGAATATTATACAGACAGATCATTGCTAGATCTCTAATCTGGACTGATTTTCTGTATCAGATTATTATCATTGTTCTCATTTATAAGCCCCTTTTCAATGAAAAGCCAAGCTTTTAAACCAGAGGTTTCTAAGAAATAGTAACACTGATTATTATGATGGGAAGATGTATTTACAGATGATCCTTTATTTAATATATTCCTTGATTGGGGGGTGCTTAATTTGCATGCTGTGACCTGTAAACCCTGAAATTTAAAAAAGAAGCAAAACAGAGTCATTCCTTTCATGGTGTGTGTAAAGGTTTGCATTCCCACTACAGCTTTTAAAGGTTTTCCTGGCAGATGAGGGTTATCAGACTACCTTCATCAGGAATTATTCTTCATGTCTCTGTGAGAAGTGTGGCACTCCTGGCTCTACAGCACCACTTCATGTCATTCCAAGGTGTCATTAGTAACTAACCTTCAGCATTTCTCTGCTGAGGCTTGAAGCTCTGACACTGAAGGTTTTAGACTCACATTTCCTGTTAACTTTCATGAAAGTCACAGGCATTGTCTCCTGCTTTGGAAATAAAAGAGACAGGTTAAGTAGAGGAATTGTGAATTTGAGCTAGGGTTTAAGGGGTAAAAAAAAAAAAAAGTTTTTGCTCAAGAGGAAACTCTGGTCCTACAGCCAATGACTGTAAGATCATTTTCATGTTGAGATTTGATGAATTAAATCTTTAGAGACAGGGCAACAGAGTGGGGTTTTAAACAAACTGCTATAAATATGAAAATAAAAAGAAAACCCAAAAACCCCAACAAAATGCATAAAAGCCCCACAACCTGGAAGAATCCCAGAACTTTTGCCTGTTTAAAAACCATCTCTAACACAAAGCTTCCAGCATGGCATGTCCATAGGAGTTTTGGACCACAGTGTTTGAGATTTGGATTGTTGCTTGGAGTATTTGGGTGTTTTGGATGATGGTATTACAGCAGCACAGGCTGTAATACAACATCTTCCCCAGACCTTGTGCTGAGTGGCCCCTTCTCGTGTCCCATGGGCTCATCACAGCACAGTTCTTTATTGTAAGTTTTAAGCCTTTCTCAAATGAATGAAATGCAGTATAGTGTGATTGATTGCTTGTGGCTTTAAAGTCATTTAAGTGTTGAAGGTTATTTTACCCACAAAATACAGAACTGCTCCATACGTGATCACGATGGAACAAAAAGTAAACAACTGTGTGTCAGTCTTCATCAGGTTTCTTCTGCATGTGAATAAAAGGTTCCTGTTTACAAATCATGTGAGCTGCTTGTCCTCCAGTTTTCAGATTATTAAATGAGATTACAGTGAGAATTTTTTTTGCATTTAAATTTCATGCTCCCTCTCCAACACAAATTTAGCAATAGATTGAATCAGCTGCCTGAAGACTTACAAGTACATTGTTCTCTTGTTCTTCTGCACAGAGATACTGAATGGAGGGGTCTATGTTGGCCAGAACAAATTTCTCTGCTTTGCAGACACCATTCATTGGCAAGACATCGTGCGTAACCCCTGGGCCTCCAACTTCACTCTGGTTCCAACCAACGGCAGCTCAGGATGTAAGTACTGCTTTTATTCTCAGCCTTGTCACCATGAAACTGGAGAAATATGGCCACAAGTTTTCCCTGATCCTCTGCTGGTACGGAGAATTATGTTGGTAAATTTTCCTTTCATTGCTCCCCACGTTTTTCTAAGTTTGTCCACTGCTTGAAGGACCACTTAGTCTGCTCTCAAAAACAAGTGTCTGTAGAGGGTATTTGTGAACATCATACATTTTCTGAATTTTTTCTCATCTGCTTTCTCTCTTCTGCATTTTCTTTTTTTTTTTTTTTCCTTTATTGCTGAAGCCACTGTGGTGCTGTGTAAGCACAGACATTGTTGTTTGCTTTGCATTTGTTCCTGCTGTTTAGTCTGCTCCTTGAGCCACAATGGTCTGTCTGTGGCACCATAATTAGCTGCTGGAGTAATTATGGTGAAAGCTCATGGATATTCTGACTTTAGATGAGAAGTGGACCTCAAAAAATAGTTAGCCTGTTGTCTTGTGTGTATATTTTTTAAGAGAGAGAGAGAGAATTTGCAGAGGATGAGGTGTTCTTCACAATATAACCAATCATTTTCTGTTCTTTACTATATTTTCTTTATTTTAATGCTTTCCTTTCCAAACTTGAAATATCTGAGTGCTTAGGGTTTCTCTATTTCCCTTCCAAAGAATTATTTGCCTTCAGTGAATCATTCTTAGGATTCTTGCAGCAATAATGAGTTGTAGTGAATGGTGGTGACAGGGATACAGTGTTTAAGCAAAATATTCCATAATGGAGTGAAGTGCATTCAGAATGAATGCTGTGCTGTTAAACAGTGCCAATACTGAAATTCAGAGACAGGCTGGGAAGAAGTTTATGTCACATGTCAAAGGTGGCACCATAGTAGACATGTTGCTCTGAGCATTCCAGATTTGGGGACTTTCTGGATTGCTTTCCATATCTAAAGGTGTCCCTCAAGGATGTATAAAAGACACATGGCCTCTCTAAATTTCACTACAGCCAGGAAACATTTCATTTCTTCTGTTGTATGTTGTCAACTCAGAAAAAAAAACTGTTCAGACTCTGGGTAGGGACCATTTGGTGAGTCCCCATAATTTCTAAGCAGCAACTTGTTTTTGACCAGGTGCTTTGTGGTGTAATTGATTTTATAGAAGGCTGACTTGCTTTTGTATATCTCATCTACCCCCCTTAATACCAGAGCACAGGTACTTGTGATGAAGCTTCCTCCAGGAGCCTGCCAGGCTGCACTGCTCCTGGACATCCCAGCTCCAGAGCTGAGCCTCATCACTTCTGCCTTCTGCCTGGAAACTTGGAAAAAAAATAGTCTTATTTGTATCTTAAAAACCCTCATCACTGCTGATGATCAGTTCTAGGCAGAGCTGATGAAACCTTTGAAGGTGAGGGAATGTCTGTCCCCTTTTAAGAGTCATCGCTTCAAGAAAAAGTCTTGGTTCTTACTCTGTTTTGTTCTGTTATTGGGTTTTTCTTTTAACCTTTCCCAGTTCTTCAAGACAAATGCTTCTGCTCTTTTAAAAAAGCAACAAACATCAATAATATCTTTTTGGGTAACAGAAGTTTTACAGATGATTTCAGAAGAACTGGAACAAGATCCATTCTGAGTACTTTTAGAAACACAACCTTAAAGCAAAAGTGGCAGATATTAGTGCCCACACACAGCTAGATGAAAGAATGTATGGAGCAAAATCCAGTTTTCTTCAAACTTTTTTTTTTTAAATTCCTTTAGAGTTGTTTTAAAATATAGGGAAGGAACAATTTGTGCTTTGCCATTTGTACTTGATAAATAAGATAAACAGCATTATTTCAATGATTGAGATTATTTCAATGATTATTTCAATGATGGAGAGCTATGTACCAAGTCAGCTTCATTAAGATAGCCTCCCAAATTTTACTCTGTTTTTCCTTACTTGGGATGAAGCAGTGCACAACTAGACTGTAATTTAATAAACATAAGTCTCTTCTGAGAAACCTGTTTTTATTGTATCATGCATGCTTTTTATACATTCTTACAAAACTCCTAAGTTTACACTTTACTCTGGTCACAAGACACAAACAAAGTGCTCATTGGAATAGGCAGTTGCAGGTTTCTCTTATTTTCCCTTCTTTCACTCTTGGTTTCTATGTCAACGACCTTGGTAGAAAATTCTTTTGGGGGTAAACATGGATCCTCTTATCACACTTCTCTCTGGCTCCCAGAAGTGGCTGTAAAACCTCTTCCACAGCTGGCAGTGAATACGTGCAGGGACAGAGGCTGTGACCTGCCCTGGGTGTCAGCATCTGGTACCTCATCCAAACGCAGCACCTGACACAGTTTGGTGCTCTGGCATGGCTGGCATTGTTTCCAGCCATCAGCAGAGGACAAAAACGCCCCCAGAGGTATCTACATGTCCAAAAGAGGAGTGCCCAGCCTCAGAGAAGCCCGTGCTTGCTGGGATTTGGCCATGGCCAGAGTGGCTGCAGCAGCTTGATGTGAATGCAGTGCCACATCGGGCACAGCTGGGCACAGCCCTGCCAGGGAGCTGCCACTGCAGGTGCCCGTGCTGTTCCCTTCCCCAGCCAGCTGCAAAAGCTGATCATGCTCTGACTTCAGGGATAATTTCACTTGAACTCTCCCTGGCTGCTCCACTGCAATCAGCAGAGGAAGACAAAAGGCTGGGATGAAAGGAAGACGTTCCCAAGTAAAATCAGTCCCCTGCCTCTGTGCCTGTTTCATGCCTTGGATCTGGCAATTCTGGCAATCTCCTTCATTCACATCAGTGCTAGGCAGAAGAGAATATGGCCAGTGCACTCTGGGAATAAAGCTCCTCTGATTCCCTTCTTCACAGGCTTTCATTGTCACATCAGTGCTAAGGAGCCAGCTGAAAAGGCCATGGTGTCTTCAACACTGACAGAAATACTGCAGCCATGTGAATCCTGAGTGCTGCTTCTCCTTTTTTCTTCAAGTTCTGATCAAATGCATGCAGAGGAGCTGGTGTTGGAGTCCCTGAGTGACATGGTGTCACCGTGCACAGAGGCAGTGGCTGCTGGCACAGCACTGGATAAACAAACCCTGCACCAGGGGCCACACGTGCTTCAGCTCTCCCAGGACACAGCCTCTGTGCCTGGAATTTTGACTCACACACACACTGAAATATTTACTGCTTGCACAGTAAATATTATAAATATAAATATAAATATAAATACAACTATATTTCTATAAATAGTATATATATTTATAAATTATATCATTTTATATAAAATAATATATATTTTTATATAAATATATTTTTATATTTCTATAGATAGAAATAAAAATATATTAAATACCCACACTGGTATCTGGTAGCTGACGATTTTGGAATTAGTTGTAACTTGAAAGCAGCCTTCTTTTCTGTTTGCCTGAATTCTGCACTGCCAGCCTGGGGTTTTAGGCTGAGCACATCGCAGTGGGAATCTCAAAAGCACTTAACTCTCCAAGGAACAAAATTTTCCCTTTAGGTTTGCGTTATTGAAATTGTTGCTGCAACAACGCTGAAAATCTATTTTCGCTCCTTCCACAAATCAGCCATGAATTCAAGCATTGGCCAAACGTGCTTTGCAAGAGCCTATTCCCCTGTTAGCACATCCACTTTTTGGATTCAGGCCCTTAATAGAAGAGCTGGAACTCTGCTCTTCAGAGGTAGAAACCCAGGGTGCAGCTCCCAGCAGGGAAAATAAATAAAGCAGGGGAAAAAGAATGAGGCTTCTTGCCTAAAATGCCTCCAGATTAGCAGAGCTCTTTCAGCAGCTTGTGGGAGAGTCCAGTGAAAACCTGTCTACTTTCATCTGTGCCTTCAATATTCTCCTCAATTTTTTTCTTAGCAGGAGCTGGACAAGCCTCACATTTTGTCAGGTGAGCTCTTTTACAGCATTTGACAAAGACCATAATATTAAATCCGAATTTTCAGAGGAACTTTACTCGGAGCTTTTGTTTTACAGAAAAGCTTGTAGAGTTTGAATTATTGCATTGAGGTCACTTCCATAGCCAATAGCATGTCTTCAAATCAGTCAGTAATGCCCTTATAAATATTAGAATTATGGATGTGTGTTCATCATAGAGCTGGTGATTGTTTGGGTAATATGGATGCAAAAATCATGCTAAAATTTTCAAGTTTTAAAAAATTTAAGTTGTTTCTCAAGGAGTTATTTAAAAAAATGCTGGACTTCCTTGAAATTTGATTCAAGTATTTTCTTGAAACCAAGCTTCTGCTCAGACTGAAGTGTAGTGAGATCACTGGAAAAAATTCCCTTTGTCAATCTGGCTTTTCATCTGAGTACCTGTCAGCTGTGAATAAAGCTGGAAATTTTTGGCAAGGTACTTTTTCAGGCAGAACAACTTCAGTTCCTTGCTCTTCACAGCACGGTGCTCCTCTGCCATTGCTTTGTGTCTAATTGCAGCCTGTGGTGTGAGAACAGCCCTGGTCTGAGCTGTGCAGAATCACTGCTGCAGAGTTACAGGGGGAAAAGACTTGGTCTTCAGGGGTGTGCCAGAAATCCCATGGTGTATTCCAGAGAAACACTGTTTGGAAACCCCTCTCTTCCAAAACTTGGCTCCTTTTTTGCCTATCAATTCACAGATTTTTCAACAGCAAAAGGAGCCTTGAAACATCATGAGCTCATATGCAGAGGCCTGGAATATCAGCAGCTTGCCTAGTGTGGAGCTCAGTGACTTCCCTGACCACAGCCTGGCTTTGAGGGCTCTGGTGCTCTCCTGGCACTGCCCTGGAGCTTTGCAGAAGTGCAGCTGTCCCTCCAGAAGTTGGTTACTTGCCAGTATTAAAAGGAATAATAGCAGCTGCCTTTATCTCTAATCTGAGCACAGTTTTAAAGAACAGATGTTGCATCTTGCACTTTTGTCTAGCTCGCTCAAAGAGCTCTCCTTGCCAGCTTGTTTTCTCTGTGTACTGTGTCATCAGCTCACCTCCTGATCTTCTTCCAAAAGCTGGACAGATGGAAGTTCTCCCATCTCTCTCAAGTAGGAA